GCAGAAACTGCTACTGGTGTAAACATTTTAGGCAAATTAAATGTTCGTGCTAATATTTTCGGTAGTCATTTAAAAGTTGTGCAWACCCGAAAATTATTCACGACAAAGCTTCGGGAATTAGTTTTAAGCTTTGCAAATTGCATAAAATATAATATAACCATATATACCACTTTACAAAGTAGCTCACTAAAGTGCACGCGCTTATGCGCTAACAGTAACAACGTACGTACCTTTGGAGACACAATTGTGGAATGTTTGATCCTCCAGCTGCTGCGACATTCCCGCTTTTACTGGCACTCACGCACGCACCAAAGACACGAAAGCAAATGCTACAATTACCGGCAAAAGTTTGAGCTTTTATCGCAGAACATAATCGCAGATATGTATTTGACAGCCACTTACTCAAGCCAGGCTATACTCTTAATACGTATTTATATTCGTATATGTATGTAAGTACATAATATTACTTGTTGACAAGGACAATGTGCAAACAAAATTTGTTAAGTTGGCAAAAAGTAAGGATTATACGAATGCGAATGGAAATTCATTTTTCACAAAAAAGTTGCAAAGAGTGATTCCAACTCTAATACCAGATTAAAACACAACTGTATGAAGCACTGAAATAGTACTCCCGTGGGTAAAATGGTTTTAAGAGTTTTTGTGTTGAGTTGGGTTTTAGAGTGTGTGACTAAGTTCCTCTAACAAAAAGAAAAATAATAATAATAATTCTGTACAGTTATAAAATCATTTAGAGGAAAAAATATGGTAATTTACTTAGAAAACCTTAAATGATACATCCAACAAATCAGTTCGTRTTCACTGAGCGTACCACCAACTACAACAGACAAATAACTAAATTTAGACACAGCAAAGCTCGGGGTTGCAGAAAGTATCAAACGATTCGGGTAAAAATCAAATTCAATAAAATATTTAAAGATATTGTTCAGAATCCACAATTTAGTATAGAAGTGATATTAGGGGCTAAATAATTATCACGCAGATGGATTGTAATAAAGCGCATAATTAATATGTGATTGTAAGAAAGGAGAAATAGGAATCGACTGGAAAACATTACCAGCTTGTTTATTCTCATATTGAGATATAACCTGTTCATACTCAGGGTGGTGCGTTCGTTTTGGGACCCAGCAAGCAAAACCCTCAATGAAAAGAACTCCTCCAATAAGAGGCTCGGAACATTCCATGGAACAGCTACAAAATTTCGTCGATATTAAAACCACATAGTTTCAGCCATTAATTTTGCGTAAGAGATAATAAAACCAATGAAGTTTTTGGAAAGATAGTCRARATAATTGAGTAACGCTYTATTAAAAGAGGCGATCCAWGTAGAGATACCTTTTTCAATAGCCTTATTTTGACAGCTCAYGCGTGAGTCGTATTGTTTGGYATTTTATCATGGAAAGACTTACGCCTGAACAACGTTTGCAATTCGTTCAATTTTATTACAAACAATTCACGTTCTGTAAAGAATGTGTTTCGCGTTCCTCGCTCAACTYATGACCARCACAATYGGCCTAYTGAGCGTACGTCTCGTAACACCATCACTTATCTTGAGGCCCAGCATTCATTAGACAATAGTCGACCGAATAGAGCACGCCCAATACGCAATGAAGAAAATATAAAAGCCGTGGAGAGTCGATTCRGCGCCGTTCGCACCAACTCRRACTGACGTATGGAACARCTTGGCACATTTTACGTCGAGATCTTAAATTGAAAGTGTWCMAAATAMAATTYMCTTCMCAAGCGACATCGCTTTGCTCTATAGACTTTTGGCGAYATTTGATTTCAACAAGAAGGCGTCAATTCCCACACATCGCATTAATCAATAGATTTATTGAGAGAACACTTGGGTGAGCAGATAATTTCACGTTTTGRGCCGGTCGATTGGACACCAAGAACTTATGACRTCACACCGTTAGACTTTTTCCTGTGAAGATATATAAAATMTATGCGGTCAATCCCAGTTACCAGTCGAATAGCTCGAACGAGTTATCGATAATGAGACTCAACGGATGGGCCAAACGTAACCGCGGCCATTTGAAAGAGATAATCTTCAAAACAGAAATGCCAAAGAATGTTTTTCGAATGATATCAATCTTTCCACATTAATTTTAAATTTTTTTTATAAATAAGTAGGGATCACCCCTTATTACTACTATTACTGGTTTTTGAAACATTAGTTATACCTATTCTAGAATGAGGTTCGTTAGTTTGTGATCTAAGGTATCAAACTTACTTTACAGAATACTGTGCTCTTTAAACAGTTTCATTCTTATTTCTGTGCCCAGTATAAATTAACTGGGGTTTTGATATTATTATGATGTAATAATTCTTCAATAAATTGATTGCTTCGTTGGTTGTATGGCATGTAGCGCCGTATTGTTGGGACCAAGGGTCGTCCACATTAACATCCTCCAATTTGTCCACGGTAAACAATGATTTTATGAGGCATTGGTGGCGTTTCAGCAATAGCTTATGGATTATTATCACTCCAAATGCGGCAMTTTTGGCTTCTTAAGGTACCCACACAATCGAAGGTTAGCTTCGTCATTGAAAAATTTGTCTGTTGAAAATTGGTATCAACGGTCAGCTCTGCAAAAAAAATTTCTTTTGAACATCGGTATCGGTGGCCATATAGTTATGGGCCCATATTTGCAGGATTTATAAAWGTTGTTCCGCAGCATGTCTGTACATTATGAAATGACAAACCATCTGAGTATAAATCGAGTAACAGCTATCTAAAAGAGCAAAACCATGGCAAAACCACATGTTACAGCCATGAAAYGAATATTTCTACATTCGTAATTAATGCTCGTCAATGTGTGTTATGAGAGACAATCACAAGCTCGGCTTTATCAATAAATCTGTCTTAGAGCTCAAGTTAATTACACTACATCACATTTCGGCACTTTCGATTTAAGGGAGTATTCTAGTCTAGAGGCTCGACTATCGAGCTTCTTTCAACAATTAATAAAAAAGAAGCGTTAGATATTTTTACTATCCGTTTTTTTATCATTTGTTTATTAAACTTAGAGAACAGTACACAAAATAAATTTCAAAAAAAAATAATTTTTTTCCTTGAAGAAAAGGGCGGAAAAAAGAGGCCGTGTCCTCAACGAAATGATTTCTACCCTTGTCGTCATCAGAAAAATAAAGCAATGACAGATATTTAATGAGTACGAATGTCGCTATGTCGTGGAGCAGCAAAACTAAAAATAAAATTTTTTTTTTCCTAAAATGGCGGCTACTCAAAAAAAAGGTMGATTTTTTCACTAATTTTTCAATTATGTCGATTTTTTTTTTTTCAATATTATATATTTCAAATTTTTATTTTTTGCTGCTTCTAGTGATAGAGATATATATTTAAAGAATAATCGTGCCAAATTTCAAATAAATCGACTGTTTAGAACTTGAGATATTGTGACTATCGCATCAAAAAAAGGATTTTTGAGAAAAACGCATTTAAAGTTTTACGTTAAGTTTCTATTCTAGTCTAGATCCTCTTTAAAAAATTTATTACTTTATTTTATAATTTTTACAACTAAAAGAAATCCTTTGCTAAAATCTTTGAAGTGACAGAATGCTAGCGATAATTTCCAGTATGGGAAGAGGACTATAAAATACTGAGTAGCCAATGATGATAACCGTTATATGAGAAAGTCTCACTACCCTTAAGCAAAATCTTACACTAAGCGCAAAATTGCGCAAACAATTAATAATACAGTATATATGTATGTGTATGCATATGTAAACAGATTATTTATTTATTTATTTATTTATTTTTATTTATTTTCGAAAATTTTCACATTTTGCCCGAAATGAGAAGCCAAAACTGAGGTAAATATTTTAAATGGTCCTTTAGCTGACATTGCATGTAAAGTCCTCTTAATAMAGTTATATTCTGCTTCCCCTTCTCTAGCCGATTTTTGATATGTGTAAATGTGTAGGTGTATAGGTTTGGTTTACAGTGCTCGATAGTGGGTGGTGTAACTCGTTGAAAATACCATTTTCATTACATATATTATCATGCATACTCATGAAGACATACCCAAATACATGGATACACTTGTAGATTTGTCCTTGCRTTAATATTCGGTCCGCATGTGTGAATGCGGTTGCAATTGCTCAGAGGCGTTGCTTGCCATGTTGCTAATTAAATCGTGTGACAATCGCAGATAGACATGACAACAAAATCATCAGCAGCAACCTCTATAGTAACAGGGACAATGCTCCGCACGAGGGCTATATGTATGTATCAGACCCACACATATAGTTGTGTACATGTTTGCATTTTTGCCATTTGGCAGGAGTTCACCATTACTCATTAGGAACCACAAGCGGATATAATAAAACTTGAACCAGAAAAGCTCGTTGTAAGCACAAGTGATATGAAGGGAGACCAGCATTGTTGTATATGTGTATAGGTGTTTGTTGTTGACTTCGTTTTTCCTTGTAATGGGCGTGCATTGTTGTCATATCTCTCGGTAAGTGTTTAAAGGCACTAAGCGCATAGATGTGGCAGACCTTTGGAACGGTTGGGTTCATCGAATTGCAGCAAAACCAATTCATAGGTGACAATGGTGCCTGCCATCTGCATACGTGTCGAAAATAATAACAATAGCAAATAAGTATAATATGTATGTTATTATTGTATAAGGAAATGTGCAACAACATTCGTTCGAATTAGTATGTGAAAATGTATATCTACTAGTCGTGCATTAAGAGCGGACAAGGTATTTCAATTTTTAAAATCTTACTCGATTAGCAACATATTGCAAGGGTATACAAATTTAAAAACCTACACAAAATTTTTACCTGATAACAGTTTGCCATCATGTTGAAAATATTTTGAATCGGATCAATACTTAACTTGGCCCACATATACCTAATATACAATTTTTGTACATCCAGTTGACTTTATACCGCATATATCGTCTAATATAATATTTCAATTAGTTTAGTGGAAAGAAACCGTGTTTTACTAATAACACTGCATCTTTGAAATGTATAAAATCCGGCAAAAACGTGCCTTAGCCCCGATATTATTTTATTAAGATGTCCGGTTAGCTTTCGTCTTCATATATTTTTGTTGTTTTTTGAAGTAACTTAATGAAACTCAGAGAGCATTTTTTCTGTAAAAAATATGTGACAAAAATAAATATTATCCCTATATATGAATTTCAAACTTCGAATTAGCTTTATATCGTATATATCGATCAACATCTAAGATATCTTTGCTAAATTAAGTGAACGCATAGTATTGGATATGCTATAACTTCATTCTGAAAATAGGTACATGAAATTGTTTAACGAAGTAGAAGGTACTTTTTTCAATAGCCTTTTTTATAGATCACGCATGAGTCGTGTCATGTTATTCCTGTTCAGTATTGTATGGCATTTCACCATGGAARGACTTGTGCCTGAACAACGCTTAAACATCGTTTAACTTTATTACGAAAATTCACGTACCTAAAAGAATGCCCACATAATCGGCCTACTGAGCATACTATTCACAACACCACATCTTCACTACGTCTTTACGTCGAGATCTTAAATTGTAACGGACGTCAATGTGTGTTAACGCGCCATGATAGCCTACTATTTTATCTCTGAAATTGAAGCTCGTGATCTCGACGACATTTGGCTTCGATTGCCCAACAAGGTCGTGTGATAGTACAACGTTAGATTTTTTCTTGTGGGGATTTATAAATCCTAAAGACTATGCGGACAATCCCGCTTCGATTCAGGCCTTGGAGCCAAACTTAACGTATGTCATTCGSCAGTTACCAGTCGAAATGCCAGAGCGAGTCATCGAAAATTGGACTCAACGGATTGACCATCTGAGACGTAGCCGCGGCCAGAGATTAGTGATTAGCATATATTCCACTAAATCCGATATTCCCAGTATAGGGATTTCCATACTATTGATCCTAGACTAAATGAGTTTTATTACTACATTTTGCTTCGTGTCTGACCTCANCACTAAATCCGATATTCCCAGTATAGGGATTTCCATACTATTGATCCTAGACTAAATGAGTTTTATTACTACATTTTGCTTCGTGTCTGACCTCAKATTAGATATATCTGATATAAGTAAACTCAACCAAAGGCTTAKATGAGAAAAAACTCAACCGAATAATARGTGGTCATTATATTGTAMCACACAGCTYTTTCTAAKAGTATAAAAGGTGRTTTGAAAAGTWCGTTGGCTAACATAGACACATTTTTTTCATAAAATTTGATTTTATTATTCACAATAATTAACGAGGGCGATACAGTGAAGGTAGCGGTTCAAACCTTGGCCCCGGCAGTATTTTCCCACCAAAAGCAAAGCTTCCTTAACACACAAAAATCCGTTTTATTCATTTTTTTAACTAACACAAGTTGCTAATGTTTTGACAGTTGTCAAATTTAAACACGTAACTTTTAAAGATAGGGGCTCACTAAAAATCATTTGGATTTARTATTAGTACTACCCTCCATATAACAGCCTACGAACTTTTCAAACCACGTCTTATTTAACTAGGAAAGGTAAAGCAGTGTCAGAATTAATATGCAGTGCTGACAGGAAAGCAACACAAGAGCCGGCACRTATACATACTCACCCCAAAAAGTAAACGTCTGGTTAGAAAGTAAAATTTCTTCCCGGATAASGCCACTGTCGTAGTTGCCATTTGAAAAATTAATCGTTCCACCTGTTGTTGGAAGAATTTCTCAGTAAGAGCATATTTATTTATTAAACTAATTATTCAACAAAAATGGTGCTTGGAAGGCTTATAGAAATTGGTAATGATAATAACAATACCTTGAAAATATACYTATATACATATAAACATACCAACATGCACCGACCAGCTTAACTAATGCATATTTAGCGCCGACACCTACTCACCTCAACACACCAGGTCTTAGCCGACACACGCCGCAGCACACCCAAAGCGTCTTTTGCCTCGTCATTGATGGATGCTGCTGTTAGAAAGACAAAAGCCGTCCGTCCAATTAAGAAGAGTAGCGAAAACCAAAAGTAAACGTAATTAATTGGCCAACGCAATTTACTTCAGATGGCGTGCACACACAGCCAGACAGGAAGGCGAACAAGCGCAGGAAAGCACGAAAAAAAGTGAAAAGAAATGTGTGAAAAAGTAATTAATGCAAATCCACAGCTTTTAGCTTTAAGAACCAAATAAGAGTGTGTGGTAASAACCTGAAGAGATTAGCTGTAAATYTGAAATGAGAATTCCGACACTTTAACAGGCAATTCTCTTTTAATTCCTCGCTTAACTCGTCGCTTCTCTGTGGAAATTAAAACAGTTTGACAAGTGTAACATGGGTCGCTTAACCTTTCAGCACACGAACATGCAAACCAAAGAGGATCAAACATCACTTCCTCTCTTCGTCTCGTCATTCTGAACATTTTCACATAATTACTTGAATATTTAGGCCTTTACCCATTCTTGTTATGTTTGCTAGTTGCTTTGATTAGCCCAATCTCAGAAATGGTAGAATGGCGAATCGAATAAACAACTAGCTTAGATAAATAATATAGAAGGGGGTTACACTGTCATGCTATAAATTGCAATTTGTGCAGACACATTCGTTATGCTTACAATCGTTTTATAATTTTTCAAAAAGCTCAACTTACTTGAAGATGTTCAGCAATTGGTAGCAAACGAAATAGAGATTATTAGCACAGGAGAGTAAAATAATGCCTGATAAGTCCTCATCCACATATTCGAGCAGTTCCAATAATTTAACGTAATGATCTCTTATTTCCATGAAAATCGACTCAGGTACTTCCTGAAATCCAGCTAATTATTATAACTATAAACACTCATTGTCTCTATAGTATTCAAACCTTATTCAACAAATTATTTATACGCATCTTCATTTGCTCGAAACGGTAKGCAATGCCTTTGCCGACCATCATTATGAAAAGATCCATGTAGTTCCAAACGAAAGTGCATACGAAATTCACAACCTACATAAAATATATAATACAAATATACTCTTATATGAGAAACGGAGTTTCTGAAGCGATAATCAAAAAAGAGAGTACATTCTTAAACTCTCGTCTAATGAACGCTCTTATACTACATATAAAGGTATGATTAAATCATTCGCACCCATATCATAACTAGCCACCAGTCCAAATCTATACAGACTTATTATATAGGTGAAACAAAACATCCAGTAAAAAGTAATTCATTATCAAATTAAAAGTTGTACATAGTCTAGGTAGAATAAAGTAATTTAGGTCAAATATGCACCCTTTGTTACGATAACTTGTTGGTATTTTGAGGRTAATTTCATAATGGCGCTCTCATAGCCAATCCTCGTCTCTATTGGTAAACAACTGGGCCAGTCGTTTTCACAAGCTTGTCTTGAGACGGTTCGTAGAAGGAAATTCGTGCATGTTTTTTTCATTAAATCTTGTGGTATCCATACATCGACCTTCATTTTGTGTCCAGCTTTATTTAATTGGTCTCAAACAGTTTTATGCGAAATTTTTAGCTCTTGGACAATCGAAACAGAATCGATCGAACTAGACGTTGTACACTTCTTTATCGCTATTTTCGATAAATACCTTTCCAGAGCTTCGTACATCAAAACACCCTAGACTTAATTGATCAAAATAAAACAGCTTTTCGTCTTCGCATTTATCGAAGAAAAACTTTATARATTTGCTCTTGMATGGCGTACATCTTTGACGCAATTYCCAAASCACTCTGTGAAGTTTTTTTATCATGAAATTTTACCTGATGCACTTACACAAGATTAATAGAGATTACTAAAAATCTATTGAAAACTTAATACATTTTACTGCTTTCTTGAAAAACTTAGGATAGAAGTGCTTTACAAACAGTTRCGAAGTACAAGAAGGGCATGAGTAGACTGAACCAAAATTCAATCGGATGAACTGACCGTGCCTCTATCAAGACGGTTGGTGGTCGCAGACTCCACTAGGGTTTAATAAAGGTGTTACATGGGTTTACTGGTTCCAAAAAATCGATTTTTTTATTTGCTATTAAATTCTACAAAACCTCTACAATATTCTCCTAAATTTTAAATTTGATCYGATAATAGTTTCGGAGATGCAGCCTTGAGAACTTGTGCGCTCTTGGGTAGCTAGGCTGCCCACTGTTTTTAATCGCGTTTTTCTCAAAACTATATTTTTGAAGGCGGTTGGAAAGATTTATTGGGAACTACTTAGCCTATCTTGATGGAATTTTACACAGGGCTTTGAGATAAATTTTTTAAAAACTTGGACGAAGAATTTCTTTTCGATTACTACTATTTGAAAAAAAAAAGTTCATAGAAATATTAATTTTTTTTTGTAAAAATGCCTGCCAAAAGTCAAATTTTTAATTTTTTTTTCCTCCGTCCAAGTTCTAAGTTAAGGTTTCAACTAAAACACGTATTTTTCACTTTGGATGATCCTATGAAGGCGCGGGAGCATCTTTTTTCCGAGGTGTCACGGGAAATAGCGTCGTATTTTCAAAATTCCTTATTAAAGAATAAAAAATTCACATAAAATATTAAGTTTTTTATGTGAGAAAAAAAATATGAAAATGGCTGTTTTTCACATAAAAAAAACCCACATAATCCCTTAAGAAGAAGCTTCATAAACTTTTTTGAGGAATATCTACCAATTGGAGTTTACATGTAATCTGCACTATTCAAAAGAACTATTCCACAAACTGCGCTAACTACTGATAATTCAGCCTATTATTATGTATAAAATATACTAACTCATTATCGGAAGCAGGAATCTTATGAAATTCAGTGCACATTAAAATCAAAAATCTATCCGACCGTTTTTCATCTRTTTACTGATTTTTATCGAAAAACAATGTTTTAAGTTACGTAGAATCGAAAATCATGGTATCCCCACTTCAGCCGAATGCAACGACGAACTGAGGTTGTGGTCCGATCTTGAATTCTTTCATATTTCTTATAGATATCGTAATATGGCAAACATACACGGATTTGATCACTTTTGACCAGATCAAACGAAATCTAAATTACTTTTTAAGAGCCCGAACGAAGTTAAGGAGAAGTGGCTKTTTTTGTTTTGGAAAGAAGTCCATCTCTGCTATATAAGACCGTACTAATGTGATTAAGCAAGAAAAAAAAAATTTACCACTCACCAAAATAAGACTGCCAACTAGTGTGGTATTGGGGAATAAYTCGTAGACATAATCATAATTTTTGTAGGTGTAATCCTCGAAAGTAAAATGAACAGTGCTGTTTTGTAGAGTGGCACAGAAATTTGCTCTGCGATATTGTGAGACTACAGCTGATGCYAGATACAACAAGTGTTCCACTACATAAGAAAGCATTTTGAACACGTAAATTTATTGAAATATACCATTAATTTTAAAAAATTGGGTACCTGCTGAGAGAAATATTATTGTGATCGCAGCGCGACGCACGCGGGTCGACAAATCACGTTTCGGCGTTTCATATGGCTTTCGTATGAAGATCATTTCAGTGCGGGTCCAAAAGCGAATAAGCCGGGGCCAACGTTGCGCCAACGAAAGAAACAGTATCGTCGATGATTGCACGCAYGTAAAGAACACAACGCCGACTGTGTGAAAAGATAATAACAAATAATTAAAGAAATGTTAATAAATCGGTAATATTTCAATTGCWTTTAATGTCAATTAAAGTCCAAAAAGTTACCTAAATTTTTCGCATTTACACCAATTCTAGCCAAATGCTTCATCATCGCAAGATTTAATGCAGAGCTTGCAACTAAAAATATCAAAGTGATCAGCACCCGTAAGGTCTTAAATGAAAATCGCACGTGACGCGGGTTCGGCTGGCTTACTCCTTGAACCGGCATTAGCGAGAAACATTGACCTATAATGAGTACTACGAAAGTCTTATGTAGATTACAAATAAATATGACTGATTTGACTGTATGAAGACTTAATAATTTTGGSCATAATAAAAAATGAAAAAGCAATTAAAACTTAGAGAGATCTATACATTGCATATAAATCCAGGAGTGCTTGCAAAACGGTGTTTTCATAAGACGCCTCAAGGTGCCCACATTTTTTGGCCTAACTTGGCTKCATGACATTATAGCAAATCAGCAGTTGAGAGGTAGGATAAGAACAATATWGTTTTTGTACCAAGAATTGCAGATCCATCTAACTGCCCGTAGTTCAGACCCTTCGTAARATATTGGACACTGGTAAAAAGGGCGGGTAGAGCCATTTGGAAAAGTTCACGTAAGTGAGGAGAATTCTCTGAGCACCATTCACTTGTAAATGATCAAAAACGATTATTTTACATATGGATCAAGCAAATCTCGACTTTCGCTTTTAGACCAGATATCTTCTGGGACAGCCAAAAAACATCCGCTTGAAGGAGAATCATCCCTTCCCAGCGTTGTGCGCTGGGTTTTGGACCCGCCACAACCCACCTCTAATGTAAAGGACACAACAGCCTCGGATGAGAGACCCCACTGATTGGACCTTATCAGTGTGGCTTTAGGCCTGGAAAATCAACAACTTCCMAGATATTCACCGCCAAATCTTGGAGACCCGTAAAAAGAGGATCCGCTYGTTCGTCGATTTCAAAGCTTCTGTTGATGGCAGTGTACAGCTGCTGGTGTACGCCGATGATATGGATATCATTGACCTTAACAAACGCGCCTATAGTTCTGCTTTTCCAGGTTGGACAAAGAAACGAAGAAAACGGGTCTGGAAATCAACGAGGGTAAGACGAATTATCTCCTGTCATCAAACAAACAGTCATCGCACTCGCGACTTGGCTCCCATGTCACTGCTGACAATCATAACTTCGAAGTCGTAGATAATTTCGAAATCCAAGGCATGGACGATGACAACATCTGATGAGTCGGCGCTACGAGTTTTCGAGAGAAAGGTTTTACGGAAGATTTATGGTCCCTTGAGGGTGAATATCGAATTCGATGGAACAATGCGCTGTACGAGTTATACAACGGCATTAACATAGTTCAACGGTTTCTCAGCGTTGGTTCCTCTAGTGAATAATACGTATCCTCAGAAACACTGTTACTGATGTTAAGTAGAGTACCGAAGAAGACCCGAATAAGTATATTAGCCATCGCGCGCAAGAAATGTAGCTATACCCAACCCCTTTCTAGAAGGTTTTGCGGCAGGATTTTGGTTGACGGTCTTAGAATTTCCAACTCGTACAAGTATTGAAGCCGAAAGRCCATCAAWCTCGTCATACGTTCAGTGAATGAGCCCAAAACCAGATGGCGGACGATCTCTATTTTCACTTGAAAAYTTTGTGCAGCCATGATGCACACTTGTTGAATTGGTATGTTAATAAACAAAATTGTGGCATTTGAARTAGTGATGATCAAAAAGCCATTGTCAAGATGCCAAATTTCTTTAGAAATGAAGCCGTCAATAATGTCACAGTGAATGGTAAATACAATACTTGCCGGAATAATTTTTTAAACATAATGGCAATCCCTTAACTTTATAACAAAGCTAAAATTTCACTAATAACACTAAATTACATGCGTATTATTTCTTCTTGAAACCCGCATATATAAAGGACGCATTATTAATTGCCTTCGTTCGCAATTTCATGGCTATCCAGATTATTTTAAGAATTTTGCAGGTGACAAAAACAGTACAACAATTAAGGAATTCTTATTGAAAGATGTATTAATAATAAAGAATCACGTTTTGTCTTAAATATACTGTTAGTCAATAAAATGATGAAATTTATTTAAATGTTTTTTGAATGAGACTTAGATGGAAAATTTCAAATTGAGAACTAATTTCGTTATTAAAACTTACTTGGACTTACAGCTCGATGAAAGATGTCCAATCTGCTGTAATCGGTGTGCTCGCTCGGCTTTTTATAATGGAAATCATCTTCTTTATAAGTGAAATATTCAATTGGTGTACGCCGTCCGGTCATTCCAAAAGGTTTCATTACATCACTATCCTCTATATTCTCCAGAAATATTTTTTCGATCGGTTTTCCTAGACTTATATTTTTGATTTTTTCATTTGCACTTTTTGATGGTAAAATTTTACTTCCCTCGAAGGCCTGTTGATGCTTTGACAAAATTTCACGCAACTTATTTCGGCTAAGCATTTTTGGCCACGATTTTCGAATATTATTCTTTACTGTTATTAATGCCAAACTACGAGTGCGTKTGTGAAGTGAAAATGAGAGACTAATATTAAGTGCTCAGCATTGGCGATATTTTATATGTTGTAATTTGTGTGTTTTGGTTTTTCAAAAACAAGTCAGGTACATACTTATGGGCGGATTTTTTAGCCCGTAAGTGTGTTCTTGTCAACAAGTTCATGCCCCGTCGGAAATAAACGTAATCAATCAAAACTTTTCTGAGAAAGTCATCAGCTTTTGAATTTCGTGTTTCTAATATTTCGTAATCTAATCAAGATAGATATAGGGTAAGGATTAAGTAGTAAGAGCGCCACAAACGTTTCAAATAAACAAAAACGGGTTGGAATATCAATGAAATTTCTTTATTTCTGTGGAAGTACATTCGATGAAATTGGATGTAGCGCTCTTACAGTTGAGTTGAGCCCACTGACTCCAAATTTTTACAGTAAATTTTAATAATTTCGGTTTGTTGTTGAATCGTATATCGTATGACGTCAATACTTCCTTGAGCCAAATATACCTAATATAAAGTTTTTCGAACTTCCGAATAACTTTTCACTGCATATGTCGGCCAATATATGAGTAATCTTAATGAAAGTAAGAAAACCAGCGATATAGTGATATATTTTTTAAAGAAACCTTTCCGACAGGGTGCTTTATGACTTCATGTTACTCCCGCTTGTACATATCTGATGATATATACCATAAAACAGGCGGCTTACTCTTGTCTAAAAGGCAATATTATTTTACACATTCGCAATTGTAGTTACCAGAGCCTTGGAAATACTCGAAAACTTTGCTTTGGACATATTACGATAATGTCGTTAAAAAATACAGGATATGTATTTCTTATTTTGTACATCAGGATATACGATATACTAAATATAACTTTGTAAAACGCTTAAGCTTCCTTTTCTAATCGCATCCATCACTAATACTTTTACACCGAAAACGAACCTTCAACGTTCCATCCTTGGAAAAAATTACAGAACCATTTACCGTTATAGGCATTTGAATACAACAGGTCACTGGCATTCGAAWACTTAGTAGCTAACTCATAAAGTTAACTAAATCTTTCGTCAACTCCCCCATCGAACAGTTCGATAACCATCTTTTGGATTGTTTTGCAACCTGCGAGTGATATGAAAAAGAGGAGCAGAACGAAGTATCCATAATTTTCTAGACAAGTGGATATTTTCTAGGAAAGTGGATATTCAGTTGATTTGACATAACGGTGTTTTGCTAAAATAGATTGGAAAAGTTATTAAAAACATATAAATTTCTTAGTTGGTTTTCCGATCTGGTTGCCTTCAATACACATATTGTAAACCTATGTATGTACATGCCATAGCACATATTATGTATATACTATACCTAAGGAGCCTGTGTCGCCAAAGTTGTAAGCTCTGCCACTTTTGCTATCTCAAAATTTGAACTGAAATCAAATAATAAATACTTCATATGCATGGTGTTTAGATAAACACCTGTTTATTAGTTTGATTTAAATTGCACCATTTAAATTTTATGAACTCAAAATAGCAGCGCTAAGCTCAACACTATTTTAGTGGAAACAAAATAAAAGAAACGAAACAATTATTAATCCGAATTTGCCCATATGTATGGTACTACATGTGATAAAAAACTAAGCTGAAGGCAACACATTGACATTGATGGTAGGTCTTCCAAAGCACTTCGAATCTGGTACTCCTGCATTGCTCTATGGACTCCACAGAAGTTTCATTCGTCGCATATAAAACATATGGTGCGGTGGCCTGCTTGTAATGGAAACTATGTCAACAAAGGCTAACCTCGAGAGACTCCTCGAGCCAATACATAATAATGTTATCAAAATGAAAGGTGAATTTTATCCATTTGATTCCATTCAAAGTAATTCCCTCCCGCTGCAATACACTTTTGCTAACGAATTTTCCAGTCATCCTAGCATTCTCCTTCGTGATGGCCAGCAGAGCCTTCTTGGATTCAGCTTTTATATCCTCAATTAAGTCAAAACGGTGTCCTCGGAGTGGTCATGTGAAATTGCTGCCAGAAGTTACACGAAGGTAAATCATGCGAATGCGGTGGTTGCGGCACGATATTAGTTGAAAATGTGGCGAAATGATCACGAATAACCATTGTAGTATGAGATGGTGCATTATCGCACTTCTTTGTTCAATAAATTCAGACATATTAMAAATCGAAGAATTCACTTCTAGAGCCTCACAAAACARGGCGAATCTCAAATACTAATTAATATTTTGACATGAAATTTGRAAAAGATATCACTAACAGTACTATCAACTTACAGAAAAATATTTACCGATTCAAAAAGCATGTGATGTATAAATTAAAAATTCACCTTTCAAAGTGATCACAGTAGTATACATGTGAAGTATGAGAAAATACTTACGGTCAGTGGGTTCATGAATTTAGGCCACCGGAGTCGGACTCGGTGTCACTACGGACATCATGTCATACTTTTTAATGAACTCGGGCTAAATTGTCGCATTGCCAAGAAAAAGAAATCTATGTCGAATTAAAACAACGTTTTCATACCCCAGTAGAGAAGATCGACACTTTTAACGGTAAAATCTGCATATTCCGACGGATCAAAGGGTGAAATMGGAAAGAAGTGGGCTTCTTTGTAATAATGCGTACACGGAAGATAACTGCAAACTAAATGACTGTGAACATTCAGTCGTTCAGGCGGAAATAGTTGACTTAACATAAAGTGTACACTAAAAACGAAGGATCAAATCCACTGATATCCTGAATAAGGCTTAATTTGGTCATCATCCGAGAGCACAACCAACCAACATACAAATGTGATAAGTTTTGTTTCGACATTGTAGGTGATGCTTGAGTTATCTATTGCAAAGTCAAGTAAGCTCTTGGAATTCAATATTGATTTAAGTAAATGAAGAAGTCACGCGATTTGGTAATAAACAAGAAAGAAAAGCTAATTTCTTTCATAAGTATGAAATTTCAACTAATCACGGACAAAATGACGAGCTTAAAGTACCTATTATAACAACTTTACCTCCGAATTACATTTTCATTATTTTTAAGGTGGGTATGATTACTTGGAATAGCATCCAGGTTGACAAAAGTGTMAAATTTCATCAAAATATCTATAGTTTTATTGACAGTTTTATTGACATAGTTTTACAGACAGAGGTTCCATGTGACAATCGSCATTCTGGTAGTTTTTATAAACATAGTCCGCTGTAATATTCGATTACTTATGCTATAACAAAGGATTTAAATACTGTTAATTTTTCATATAATTTGTCGGTGAATTTTATAAGCACTGGAAAAATTAGTAAAAGAAATCACCCCAACAGCAAAACACCCCTAACAACAGTGTTACGCCATGGTCAAAAACCAGCTAGCGGTTTTGTTTTTTGTTTAGGTTTTTGTTTACCTCTAGTTACCCGGGCGACTAAACATTTCATGTCATTAATGCTGTCAGTGTCACAAGCAGAAAAATTAAACGCCAACAAAATAGCAGGAATATCCAAAGCGGGTATTTTCTTTTTAATAGTAATAAGTGTTAAAGGAAAATGGAAATATCGGAATTAGTGTCGGCACGTAAATTTCGCGAATTTAATACGAAACAAAAGGAGGAATTATATGAAACTTTACTGCAGTTAATTGTGTCCATAGAGGAGATACCCAAGAAGTCACTGCGACGCACGTTGGAAGTCACTTTGGCTGTCCTGCAGTACAAAGGCGATCAGGCTAGTACGTTGCGGTCACGACTAGAAGATAAGGAGAGCAGTGATGGTGAGAAAAAGCAATAAATAAATGTAATTTAAAAAGATTCTACGAAATCTGAACAATTTTTTATAGAAGACTCACGAACCGAACGGTTGAAGGATGAGAACGAAAGGCTTAAGGTTATGTTGGAAAGACTGGATGATGAAAAGTCAGAACTGAAAGCCAAGGTTAAGGAGGTATTAAATTGCGCTTAAGCGCAAAATTAAAACAAATAAAGCCTTCAAATTTGAATAAAATCTTTCAATAGCTCACTGAGGATATTTTTCAACTACAAAAACGTCTACAAGAAGCCGCTCAAACTGCTGCCACAGAGGTTAGCGATAAGGACTCCTCCGATCCACTGTCCGAGTTAGACAAACAAGAGGATCTACTACGAAATATCAATTCAAAGAATAAGCACATAAAACGTTTACTACGCGAAATAGAGGTTTGACGATGTCAATATAGTATTAATTGTATAGAAACTGTTTTTCTTCTCGCTACCTTGCAGGCGCTTCAAAATCAAAATATCGCACAGACAAAAACCATCATCGAATGTGAAACCGAATTGAAGCAGAACAAAACCAAGCTGCTACAACTTAGCGCCGATATAACGCTCGTCGATAGCGAACGGAAGGCATTAAAAGAAACCGTTAACGAACTGAATATTGAAATTACCCGCTTAGAGGGCAATATTACTTATCTTGAGGAGRAGCGTGAGAAAAGTGAACACGATTTGAAGGCTTTCATTGAAAAATTAGAAATAAAAGCGCAATCTTGGAAGAACATGTTGGATGCAAAGGAAAAGGAAATGAAAAAGTTGCGTGCGCATCTGGAAAAAGTCGGAGAGGCGACGAGCCTTTCAGAGCATACAACGCATCCACGCAAGGATGATTTGGGAAAAAATAACAGCGATGATGATGAAGAAACTACCAAGCTTTTACATGTAAGTAGAAACCACGGTTTGGTGTCCCTCATCAGTCCCTCTTTGGAGATAGAAACCATCTGATTGTAGACATGAAAGCTTTTTCATAAATTCTCAAAATAGAGTTGCAAKCTGAAGGCTTTTTAACCACTCAACTTCATTTGATTTGTTTTGTTGAACGTAACTTTTATGTTTCTTTTTCTAACGGGSAACGCTACAAAAGTAAACCGATAGGATCAGCAGACGACGCATAYTTTTCTGGCTSCTTTGACATTTCTCTTCA